TGAAGTAACGTCAATATTTGGATGAAAATTGACGTCTGCGAGGTTTTTGACATGAGAAATTTTATTTTGATGTCAATATGGCTTTTAATAGTATAAGTCTTTTATGTATGATATGGCTGATATTTGTAGGGGCCACCACCTACATGTATTTTAACTGTTTGAAGAGTAATAACTTTTTGTTCGTACTTGTATAAAACTACTGAGATAATAATATACATTTCCGTGACTTTCTACGTAAAAAATGTCCCTTGGTAAAAATCGGTACGAGCAACCGTTCTCAGGATATTTAGAATGGAAATAGAAAAATACATGTCATTATTGACAAAAAATAAACTCGTTGCATGAGTAGATTAGTTATTTGACTGAAATAATAAATTTGGTAAATTTTTATTTTTTTAAATTAATTATAAATTTTTCCTCGAAAAAATGATGATAAAACAGTTTCAGTTGAACTTTTGTCACAAAAATATTTCAAATTTATGATTTCAGTCTAATTACTATTTATGTTTTAAGTAACTATTTAGTCCACAAAAGTACAGCGATTAGCAGCACTAGGTACAACTAGAGCAAGGAACAACACAGCGCAAGCTGCGTTAGAAACAATTCTGGAGTTGTAGTTAATCGACTGACTCGTGAAGGATCTGGCCGCTAAGGGTGCCCTAAGATTAAGGGAATCCAATCTGTGGAACCAGACCAACTACGGTCACTCGAGGATATTGTCAGTGATAGTGAAAATCATGGTCAACACGAGTCCACATCTGCTAAACCAGAAAACGGACTATATGCTCACCAAACATGATTTTGGAGAAAAGATAAGGATTTGCATCCCGACAAGAGAAGAATGGGAAAGCAACCGAGTAATGAACACTCAAGAGATTGCTATCACATCAGTCTACACAGATGCTTCCGCAACTTCAAGAGGCACAGGTATAGGCATCTTCTCAGAGGAACTATACATCCGACGATCTTTAAGGCTATCGGGTGGCTGTAATGTTCTAAAAGCAGAGGTTTACGCGATAAAGGAAGCGGCTAGTTGTATACGAGAGAAAATTGCTGATAGACGAATAGGGGATATCGTGATATACTCTGACAGCTTGGGCGTTTTAAGAAGCATCACCATGCAATCAGTGAGGTCGAAGACTGTGATGGAATTTCGAGAAGCACTGTCCTGGCTGCGTCAAGGCGGGGCTACTCTATGCTGGGTGCCAGGTCACAGCAACGGCAATCTCGGGAAGCAGACTCGCCAAAGAGGGGGCCAGGGGAGAAGCCGTGGCAGATGACCCACCACTTGTGACGTCAACACACTGAAGGAAGCTATAGGAACTGCCATCAAGGCCAAGCAGCAAGAGACGTGGCAACACCGTGAGGAATGCGCTACAGCTCGAAGACGATGGTAGATAGCAAGAGAGCCCCTGGTAGATAGAAAAAAGACAAAACAACTTCTAGAAAACAAAAAGAACCTAGTACGCATAATTGTAGGTGTCGTCACTGGAAACTGTCCTACCAAGAAGGATAGCTATCCCCTGCCGAGGATGGACGGTACTCTAGACACGCTGGCGGGGTCGACGATATTCTGTACTTTGGATCTGAAGAGTGGATATTGGCTGCGAGAGCTTTAGGCGCCATGTCGACGCGGATAAGAATTTTCGAGTCAAATCTGGATTGTCTGTTTCTCTCATATATAAGCCGATGCCTGAGGCCTGAAGAGGACAGAGAAAAACAACCGGTCGACGCATACAGTTACAATCGCCGCGCTAAATTCAAAATAAATTCCTTTTAGATACAGTACGTCTGTCCGTTCTGTAGCTACGGGGTATCCGTGGGAGGGAAAACGATATTCTCTCGATGTTTTCCGTAAAAAATTAGACGACGCGCTCCATAAATAAAAAATCGACAAATTTGCCAATAAAATGAGTGGGCGGAACGATTTGCGGTGACGTACTCATCAAGTCGACGTATAAAATATATTGCTGTTTATTTAAATGTTTTTTGTCCGCATTCCTTTCATAGACACAGATCCAGCAGACGTACATTAAATAGTTAGATAAATTGTAAATAAGTTATAAATAGTGTGTAAATAGTACTTTAAGTCTTTTAATCGTTATTGTTTGTTACTTAGTGTAAATAAATTGTGACTTTCTATCCACACGAAACCGACGAAAAACGTAACAATATGTATATATTAGTAAAATAGCCCATTTACTAACAACTTTTTTTTTCAGTGTAGTTATCCTACTAACCTTTAGGTTTTTCTAATTCCTACGTTGGGATATTACAACCCATATACTTCAGACTATTCTCCCCAGGTGTACTGTTTCTTAATACAATTTCCAATTTTCTCTACAATAAAAAAGATTAGATGTTTACGGATTAAGGATAACGCGTGTGGGTCGTTAACGGCTTACATAGGGGTCTTCCTAAAGAACAGTGCCCTTAATCGACTGGCAAGATAATGTGTTTTTCCTGGTCTGATTGAACTGCCAGGGTATTTTTTATTAATCGATCTATCTTAGGTATAGATCTATAGTTCCTGGAAATAGAAGTATTTGCTTTCGCAATTTTCTGATTATCGAACTGCTTTAGAGAAATAACTTGAAACTTTATTTTTTTTTAATTACATTATGTACCTATATAGAAAAAAATATGTAGCGTGTATAATATGTGCATGTATACAGAAGCTTCTGCAGCATATTCTGCAAATAGAAATATCTAAATAGCTCGTATAAATGGATATTCTATAAAATGTTTCGTTTCAGAGATACAGGGTGTAACGAGGAATTTAGATGAAAATTGGTGTTTGGGAGAAATTGGATTTCAGTGTCAATGTGACTCTTACTTTTATAGATGCGCTACATATTTTAAAGTAGTTTGAAGTGTAATAAATTTTTGTCTGCACCTGTATTAAATACTACTGAGTAAAAAATAAGCATTTCTGCCATTTCTTACGTAAGAAAGATCTATTTTGTAAAAATCGCTAGAAGTAATGGTTCTCGAGATATTTGGAATCGAAACTCATTATTGACACAAATTGAACATATTCAACAAATGTTAAATTAGAAATGTTTTTGTGCTAAAGGTTAAAAAAAACTGATTTATCATAATTTCATCGAGAAAAATTTATGATTAATTTACAAAAAAATAAAAAGTTCCCAAATTTACTATTTCACTCAAATCACTATCTAAACTAACTAACATAAAAATATGTTAATTTTTTGTCAATAATGCCATATATTGACTAATTCCATTCCAAATATATTCAGAACGGTTGCTTCTAAAAGGGATAAATACAGGGTTATATTATTTTTACCAAGAGACCTTTTTTACGTATAGCATGACTGACATGTATATTTTTAGCCGACCATACCAATAGGTATGGTAAGCTATTAGGATCGGCAAAAAAAAAGTTTTTTTAATTTCATTCAAAATGAGTTATTTGGGTCATAAATGACCTAAATACAAAATATTTTCGTAGTGTCTGTCTGTCTGTCTGTCTGTCCGTCCGCCTGTCCGTCTGTAACACGATAACTCAAAAACCGCTGAACCGATTTTAACCAAATTTGGCACAAAAATACTGTGGCACCCGAGAATCTGGCCATTAGTTTTTGGTGGGGGTGGGGGGTTGGTAAGGGGGTATAGGAGGGGGTTAAAAATTTTAAAAAATCGTAACTCCAAAATTACAGTAGCTAGCGAAACGCGGTTTTCAAATTAAGATTAGGAATAATATTTGCAACAAAATTTGTAATAACATCAAAATCAGTCAAAGTCGCAGTTTTCGAGATATTAACATATTTTAGTATATGGGCGGCTATACGTGCCTCCCGGTGCCAATTTTTTTTCATTCTTTTATACAAGTAAGAACTACAAGTTATTATTCTTCAAACATGTTAAAAATATGTATGTGGCGCTCACTACAAATACTCACAAACACCCAGGCACCTATTATATTATTGAAGTATGATTAACCCACGAGCGGGCGCGTTCGGAATTTTATACCGCAATTTTACTAATTTTGTTAAAACAAAATATCCATTAGGCATACGTCGGTGGTGCCACTAAATATGCTTATTAAGGGATATTCGATACCCTGGGTCGTAGTAGTTACGTATCCAGCGATTTTGGTTCAGTAGCAATTCTGTCGTAAACCTGGCAACTACAGGAGCTGCGGTACTCCGTGCGGCTACGTGCCCGATTATGTAAGTAAAATAGATATCATATTATTTAATTATTTTGATTTCATTTTAAATTGTTAATTAATTTTATAATAATATGTTAAATAATCTGTATTAATGAACGGAAATGGATATTTCATGGAACGGAAATGGATATTTCCGTTCTAATGAACTGTATTAATATACAGATTATTAGAATTATTCTCTTCCTAGATATTTCCAAGCTTTTCTCGCTAAATATGCTTCAGAGGTAAAAGTACTAGTTAGGGACAATAAGAAGCGAGTTGGTCGCTGTCATGTATATGAAACCCATAAAATTACTAGTTTTTGCAACCAAGGCAACAAATTTGTTCGCCAAAAATTATAGTGATAGACTAATCAATTGTATCAACGATAGATATAGAATAAAACTAAAGTTTCATCTTCTTCCAGTGGTTAAGAATATTTAAAAGGTTCTGTTGGGTTTAATTTAGTATTATATTTATGTTCTGCATTATTTAGTTTTTGTAAGTTGGCAAAATTACATTTCTTTATTTTGAATACTAAAAATGTTTAGTTCGGTTCCTTTTTTTATAATACGTTTAAGTTTTTTTATGTGCTAATAAAGTAGATATGTATTAAAAGTGTTGCTTGTTACTGTTTAGCATGCTAAATTTTACAATAAAATATTTTAAATTACAGAATACTTAAAAAATATAAATGCGGTACGGATTACCGCTACGCGCCCCCCATTATTTATGTCAATTTCTCTATATTTTTAAGAAAGAATTTCCAGTATATTTTGAGAAATTAATCGAGGATGGTAATTTATGAGTAGCTATGATTACTTACAGTTGTCTTATATTTTCGGCGGCAGCTGACAACAAAAATAATTATTGTGTAGAAAGTTGCTATGAAACGCACAAAATCACTATAACATGTTTAAAAACAGTCACTTGCAGAATAAAGTAGAGTAAATGGTACTAGTGTTTTATCGAAGTAATAAACACACAGGGTTACCAGCTGTTTTTAAGAAAGCTTCTTTAATAATAAATTAAAATATAGTAATAATGCGCATGCATTTTGCATTGCATTTTGACAAAATTTGGGTAAATTTTCTCTCGGCACGGCCGGTTTTGTGTTATCGCAGTTACTACAACTAAATTATATTAAAACGCTATGCAGCGGAAACATGCTCCAAAATAAAAAGTCCAAAATATTATAAGCGCTCCATATTGCCGTATGACGTGTAAAATCAGTTTTTTTAATATAGTGCTCTGAATAACGATGATAGCCCGGGACTCGATTATTTTTGCACGTGAAGTGTGGAGTGGTGCTATATTCTTGCCTATAATAAGAACTCTGTCAAGTATTATTTTATATATTAGAGTATATAGAATCTCACAGGTAGTCAAGCGATCCCTAAAAACAAGAGTGACAAACAAAATGATAATTCGTCTGTTTTCGGAAATGCTGTCAACGCGGACTCAGATGGGTACAAATCTGTAGCTGTAAAAACAACGCCAAGGACCTCCACAAGAATTATGGCGTAATTGCTTTAAAACCAATATAAAAAAGAATGTTCTTATTTGATAAATTTGATTTTCTTCTGCATAGTTTGTGGTTTAAGTAATAGTAACCATCAATTAAGTAACATAAATTCCAGCTTGACATATCTAGGTGTATACGAAAAAGACCTGATGAAAATACACGAGCCCATACACATGCATCTTTAGGCTATTGGGTAGGCATCGCATTTGAGATTTTATTTTTACACCTTTCTATTGATTTTAGCTTATTTTGCTCAACGGAAAACTGAGTATTTGGAACAAAGCTCATCCATATTTTACGAAGTTTTCCCCTCTCGAGTGGTTATTCAGATACACTTACCTGCAAATTCTATATTCGTTTTGTTCCCGAAAGTTTGATTTTATTGCAACGAATTCATCAATAATGCAGCTTCTTTTATTGGATATCTACAGATCGAATATCAAGGGATCTCAATAAATAAACATTTAGCAATAATTATAGAATCTGGATTTAAACAAAAATTATATCATATCAATTTTATCACTTTATGCAGAGTATTTCAAACTCAACTCCTAATATGAGATATTCGAGAAATATCGAAAATTGAAAATTTCGATGTAATTTTTTTCTGACGTTATTAGACAAGGTTTCCCCAAACTCATGGTACATTTTCATTGCCAATTTTTTTCCAGCTACACAACAGTTTCTGCAGATTTGTCATCAGACCTTTTGTCTTTTTACCATCATCATCAATTTGATGTTTTACAGATTTAAATAGAAAAATTCATTACGATTCTAACGATGTAGTAAACAAGTCATGCATATAGTAACTTATAAAATTCAATAATCTGTTAGAATTGTGTGTTTTTTATTATGCGGCTTTGGTTGTGTGAAAGAAAAACGTGACATGCTAAAATGTTATTACAAATGTGACAGAGCTTGGTTTTTCTCGAATATTTGCCTCTAATCGGTGTATTAGTGCACAATTTTGCCCTAATTTAACCATAATCGTATTAGGCCAATCAAATCAATATATTTTGAGGAATAAATTTCCAGCAAGCTGGAAATCATTTTAATACCTTTAATCGGTCCTAAATGCGTGTAATCTAAAGGTGCGTATTCATTATCGTAACAAATGCCTCCGGTCTTCTCGTGCGGTCCTATCGTACGGTCCCCGTCCCTACCACTAGCGAACATTCGTTCGTTCGTTCGTTCGGATAATGAATACGCACCTTAAGGTTGTGATGCGTATGTATGTATGTGTGCGTATTCATTATCCGAACGAACGAACGAACGAACGAACGAATGTTTGCTAGTGGTATGGACGGGGACCGTACGATAGAACCATAGAGAACCGCACGAGAAGACCGGAGGCATTTGTTGGCGAACGCCTTTGATGTACCGACTCGAAACGGATGGTCGAGCGAACGAACGAACGAACGGCCGCATGCGTTCGGTCCCCGTCTAAATATACCACACTTTCATTCGTTCGTTCGTTCGTTCGGATAATGAATACGCACGTTTAAGTTTGCACCATCCCAGGAGGTGAGCTTAGTTTTTGACAGGCAAACAAGCGTCAAATTTTTGCACATTTTTGAGTTTTTTTGCTTGTAGCTGGAAATCGGCCGGAAAATGTGCTGCGTCGGCCGGAAAATGTCATTCCATTCAATAATATAGAGGACTAAATTCTGCGTCGAATTACATATAAAACATCAAATTTGGTTCAGTGGTATAGCCGAAATACAATGTTAAAAAACGAAGAAAATTTCGTATTTTGTTGCAAACTTATATTTTGCGGCTATCTAAGAGTACATATCTTTAAAACAGATACTCTTATTGAAAAAGCCCATGGAATAAACGTTGTAGTGAATAAAATTTTACGTTATATAGATACCTCAGTTTTTAAAAATCAGTCATTTTGAAATACCAAATTCATCTAACATTTACGTCATGAAACCTGGAAAGGGAACCTCTCAGAATACATTCTACTCTCCCAAGTACTTCAACTTCTCGTCTGTTGTCAAAGAGAATATCCTGTTCCTACATGCAATCAGTGGATGAGATACAACCCCTGCATTCTATCGCCAAGGGAAGTTGAAGTTTGTCAAGCTTCTTGAAAAGAACATGACATTTCAAGAGAGTGTCAGGATTTTTCATCATGAAGATGCAGATTCTGAAGTTTTCATTTCAGCAGGTCAACTGTTCTGCAGGTGAACTGACTTCTCTACTTCCAACAAATGCAGCCGCCGCTCAACATATTCTGCGAGTGTACCTTCAAATCTGATATGATAAACCAAAGGATCCTCTGAACTGGGGTGGGAGAAGGACGGACCTTGGCTTTCTACCCATCATAAACACCAAGAATCTAGCTCCAGCCGAAATTCTCAATACTGTGTCCTGCAACAGGGAAGTGCAGCTGCAGAAAAGTAAGCATGAAATGTTCAACAATATGCCTCAACTGCAAGTTAAGCTCACCACCTGGGATAGTGCAAACTCAGATTACACGCGTTTAGGACCTGATAGAAGTATTAAAACAATTTCCAGCTTGCTGCAAATTAATTCCGCAAAACTGCTTTTTCCCATTTAATTTTATTGGCCTATATCTCAAATAGTGATGGAATAAGTGAGTTAAATTTGAATTACCCTATATGTATCTATAGTCACTGCTAATTCAGTATGAGCTGGTCATTTTTGCTTGTTTTGAAGTATCCGTATGTAACCTACTGTGCCTATTTTCGCGCATATACCAGAGCACCAGTTTCAATCTTTTTGTAAACGCAGCATCAGTGGAGCTCAGATTCCGATTTGTCACATAACATGATAAGCGAATATTTAATTAGGTAGGCAGATTTCCATGCAAATGATGGTAAGTCGGTAGTAGGCTGATTATGAATAGGGTGTGCTAGACTGCTAGCTTAAAATAATGATGATAGTATCGTCGTGTTCCAATTCAAGTGATATATCTCTAAATCTCAAATCAACAATTAAAATGACATTAAGACTGTAACGGAGAACCGGTGATAGTATACCTTTTTTCATTGAGTAATAATTTAAAAACAGCCAAATGTAGACACTTGAAAAATAGGGTTGTAAAGCATTATAATATATTTGCTTAAAAATAAGATTTATCGTTCTTAGTTTAGTATAGGGCATACTGCATTTAAGAGCATAGGTCCTAAAAGGTTATGGCAGTTTCATATTATGTAGTATTTTTATTGAAATATAAAAAGATTAAATAGATAACCTTGTAAAGAATTGCAATATCTGGTGATAAATTTCAGATTAACTTTAGAAAATGTTCAATATCCAGGCTAGGAAGTCAGCTTGAAAAATTGGGTTTATAGAACCTTATACAGGGTGGTCCGAACTGTATTCCGGAAACTTCGGCAGCATATTCTGTAGATAAAAATAAGTAAAAAAGTTCGTATATAATGTCCAACAATGCTTAGTTTCGGAAATACAGGGAGTAGAAGTTTCAATTTTATTTCGATATTTTCCAATTAATTTCTGAAGTAAAATTCTATCTGAGAGTTTTTTGACATTAAAAAATTTGATTTTGTTCTCAATATGACTTCTATTTATAGGGGGCGCCACCTACATGTGTTTTAACTCTTTTGAAGAGTAATAACTTTTCGTTCGTACCTGTATAAAACTACTGAGCAAAAAAATGTACATTTCCGTGATTTTCTACGTAAAAAATGTGTCTTGGTCAAAATCGCTACGAGCAACCGTTCTCAAGATATTTAAAATCGGAATAGTCAATACATGTCATTATTGACAAAAAATAAACATGTCGGGTAGATAGTTATTCGATTGAAATGAGAAATTTGAGAACTTTTTGTTTTTTAATTAATCATATTTTTTTTCGAAAAAATGATGATAAAACAGTTTCTATTGAACTTTTGGCACAGACACATTTCAAATTTATGGTTTCAGTCTAATATCTATTTAATCAACATGTTTTATTTTATGTCAATGATGACAGATATTGATAATTTAGATTCCAAATATTTCGAGAACCATTACTTGTAGCGATTTTTACCAAGAGACCTTTTTTACGTAAAAAACGTATTAAATGTATATTTTTTTACTCAGTAGTTTTATACAAGTACGAAATACGAACGAAAAGTTATTACTTTTCAAGCCAGTTAAAAATATGTAGGTGGCACCCGCTGCAAGTAGGAATCATATTGACATCAAAATCAAATTTCTAATGTCAAAAAAGTACCAGACAACAATTTTCATCCAAATATTGACGTTAATTCAGAAATTATTCGGAAAAAATCGAAATAAAAATGAAACTTCCACACGCTGCGCGCTGTATCTCCGCATTTTACTAAGCATTTTAGGACATATATTTATATGATCTTTTTTATTTACTTTTATTTGCAGAATATGCTACTGAAGTTTTCGGAATACAGTTCGGACTACCCTGTATAGTATAAAATTATATTATTATTTATAATTCTGAAAAAACTCCCAAAAAAATTACCACCTTGTAAGTAAAATTTTACTTCTATTTTGCACTCATCGTCTTCTATGCGTATTTTTTGGATAGCTTGGCGTCAAACTAATTATTTTTACAGTTTCGATAGCACACTGCTTATCTAATTAGGACTAAGAAACCATATATTTGAATAAATACTAAATAAAAAAAATTAACAAAGTTAACGCTTTCGCCACATGAAAATTGGAGTTTAGATTTAGATTTAGAATACAATCTTACTTGTATATGACCAAAACTTTAAATTTTTCAAACTACTGTATTAAAAAACAGGGTATTTAGTTACTCAATTTTTTTTTTCAATCACTAATAAAACAGGTTTGGGTTTATATTTAAAAAACAATCGCAATTAAGCGAACCCATTAAACGTGGCATAAAAACAAACTAAATGCATTATTTGTTGCTATTTATAATGTTCCCAACATTACAGGAACGAGGAAAATATAAGTGTGTCATCATAGACTGTATACCATGACACTCCGATCTCCCTTACAGTATGCAATTGGTAATTAGAATCGGGTATATGAAATAAATTAGGATAGATTGACGTATTCAATTGTTTTCAGTCGGAAAGGACTACACCGGAAATGACTACAACTTTTGATTTTTAAATGGCACCCTCGGCGTTTTTTTACTTTATTCGATAGAAAATGGCACTCTTACTAGAATGCCATATCATATGTCAGCTTTGGAGATTTTCGCTTCAAAAACTGCAAAAAAATCGTATTCAAATTGCGATCTACAGTGCCATGTTCGTGTCAAAAACACTCATTTTTAATCAAGAAGCCTTGAAAAAATAGATCTGATCCTTTAATGTTTTTAGTGTCTTATCCTGGCCGGTTAAAACATGCCAAATCGTATTTTTAATTATATTTCAATTTTTTCAAATGGAACGAGGGTGGCTCAGTAGCATATTTAGAAAAAGTATTTTTTTACGAACAATTTGTTACCACACAATTATAGAAATTCCAATCAAATTGTCGTAATAAATTGCATGTTGAAATTTCAAATAATTCATATGTCAAAATGTCAAAAGTTGACATTATGTCATTCTATTCGGAAGGTAATTTTTTATTAAAGGAGGTAAAATAATACCGAGTGTGTAATTTAGAAATTAAGGCTTTATTCCGTTGCAAAACCAGGCGAACCAGACAGAAACTACGGTAAGGAGCGGTCCCTGAAAAACATCGGTTTGATACGGAACGGTTTGGTATAATATACTGGAAACGTCAAATGTTTACGTTTTCTAAATTCCAATACCTCTATTATAAAATTTATCTTTTATGCATTTTTAATGTACAGCTGGTTCCAAAAAAAAATGAATACGACTCTTTACACATTTTTTTAGAATATTTGGGCAGTGTATATTTATTTGTCAAGTATTTTGGCATATTAAGGTTATTGTGACATTGTATAAAACAACTTTACTTTTGACAAAGTCGCATTTTTCAGAACGTCATTATGACATGAGTAGAGAAATGGGGGACTGGTATCATAGAATATACTGCCCGAAATAATAAAAATATGTTTTAAATCGTATTCAATTTTATTGGAACCAGCTGTACCTATTCTCTGCTTTTACGTTTGCTTCTTCTTTTCAATGGAGTTTAATATTGAAAAGTGCTGTATTAATAAACTGTTAAACTCGTTAGACAGCTCAAGTGAATACCTATTTGCAGGTCCAATATTAAAACAGAGCAATAATAAATATAGTCTGTCCAACGACAAAATCCTTGACAGTGATAGATGTGTCTTTCATTTTAATTTCAAAGTAGTTTATTTTATTTTACAAAGAAATAAGTTGGTACAATTGGAACGCATAATTAATATATTTAAATTTTGAGTGAAAAGTGATTACTTCAAAATATTGTGAAAAAAACTGTATAAAAGTGAAGAAATCTAATCTTGGTTAATTAACTTTAATCTTATTTTTTTCTGCAGTACTACAATGTATTATTTACCTATGGTGTGATGTTATTTTACAGATACTCCAGTTTTTGGTACCATATACGAGATGGTATACAATTTTATTTGTGGCTAATACAACAATCTAAGAATACAACTCTCTGGCCATAGTCTCTGGCAAAGTGTGTCTCTGGCGGTCTCTGTACACCGAATATTAACTGTAAACTATGGTCTGGGTCAACACTTAATATTCCCTCGAGTTTTCCTCCACTTAATTTTAAAAAACACGAAACACAAGTAACAACACAGTCGAAAATGCAAAATGCAAAATATTTATCATTTCTATTTAACACAAAATTATAACCTATAATTGGCAAGAGTTTGACAACTCTCAAAAATCTTAAATCGAGTTCATACCCAAAAGCGTCCGTTTGTCGTTCATCGTTGTGTCAAACCAATAATATCGAAATATGATGAAATAAACCAATAAAACTGGTTAAAAACAACAAGAGACGATGCATTACGTATTTATTTATAAACCCATCCATAGTTAACTTAAAAAATATTAGAAACTTTTTTTAGTGAAATAAATGGATTGGTATGGAAGTCATCTGCTTTTTTTCTGTCATCGTCTGTCGAAATCTTACCTGAGAAAAAAAAAAACAGAATATAAACAAATCTATTCAATATTTATATTTTTATAGCTTACAAAACATTCACGATTGCTTGTTGTCTTGTTTTTTTTATGTTTTATTTAAATGTTCCTGACTTTAAGAAACAATGGCTGCATGATAAGTTTAAATGGTCCTAAAAAGTCATTCTATTTAGTTAATGAAATTTATTTACCTTTACTGCATGTCTACCTCCATTGCTTTTGGATGTAAATACAAAATATTATTACAAATTTTATAAATTAAATGAGAATTTCACTCGAACTTCCAATATTTGCTTGATTTCTGTCACATAAATAACATTGATTGACAAACAAAACCAGGAAAACCAGCCTCCTCGTGCTGGTTAGTTTAATAACAAAATAATAAAAACAAAAGAGTTATAAAGGTGGGGGAACTACTACTAACTTTTGAGAAATACCCAATATGAGACTTACAGATTTTATTTAAAAGAACAAATACACAATTTTATTTAGTTTAAGGTAAGACGGTTTTGCGATTGTCAGACATACACTTTATGGATTGAAATGCTGTTTCTTCCGGACTGTCCAACTGAATCAGACATTTGTTTAAAACTTCTTCTATCTTATCATCGTCTTTAACAAGTTGGCTCATTTGTTCCTTGATGAATTCCCTGTCGAAGTTCCCGTCTTTATCCATGAAACCAATCTTCTTTCCAAGGCAGAAAAAATGTGTTTTCAGAGCTGGATCATCATCGAATTTTCCCTGGACGGCGGCCATTATCATTGGCATAGGGGCGCCGCTTTTTTGTCTACATTCGGTGTTGTATTTAATAAGTTTTTGCAACTGATCTGGCGGAACTTGTAACTAAAGAAAAATATCTATGTTTTTATATTGGAACTAAAATACAATCTTATAGTTTAATTTCTTGAAAAAAAAGGGGGTTATAGTTACAATTATAGATAAAGGAAACAAGTTTCGATTGGAATGCTCGGCTTACCGCCAAAACTTTTTTGGGGTGCATAAGTTGTACGGGTTCTGGCGCTACTATAGCGGTTGCTAAGAACAACCGTAAACAAGAACAGAAATAATTTTCTATTGCCAAAGTCAGAATCTTCAAAAATTATAAATCTCTCAAAATTTAAACTGCTTGAAAAAATACCGACATATGTTTAAAGCGTCCATTTTCAATGTAACTATTGCTATCTTTGAATAAGAAGAATAAGGAAGGAGCATATCAAAAATCTTAGGTCCACCGCGATGGGACTTAAATATGGCCGACTTAAATTCCGATTTATCAGTGCCGTTCTAATTTTATTTAAAAAATGTAAAACTATGATGTAGGGTAGACGTGGGCTAGACTCAATATTTTTTTTAATTTTACGTTGTGAATAAATGTTGGTAGTTATTAGATTGTTATACAAACCTATTATTATAATAAAAATAGATAGGTTTTAATAATTATTTATTAACACAAACATCTGATACGCTACTGAAGCAGGTAAGTCAAATTGACGTAGGTATCTAAATTCTTTCGACATCTAATCTTTGCCAAGTAGTAAATAAAAGCAAAAATTCAAGAAAAAATATATAATTAGTTAATTTAAGTGAATTTCATAAATGATCGGTTTACTACGCGTATGTATATTATATAGTCACTTACTAGCGAAAAGTTGTTCCATTATTTCACTCGATTTTTGCCGAGATCAACCGCACGCTACACAACCATCTATTTTAGAGTATTTTTCGATAAATCGCGATAGTGTCACTGTTAATTTAAGTTCTGCCACAATTTCCATCTAGATTTACTACCTTTATACAACTATCAGTAGTAGAATAAATAATAAATAACATAACATAAGCTCCGTAAAGGCTGACAAATCCACAAAATTTCAAATCAAATTCAAATGTGTCAAATGAATCGTCAAACAGAACTGTCAAGGATCCCCACCCTAGAGTCCTTTTTCCGCCCACCATGCAAGAATACATGGATAGCATTATGCTCCTTCCTGGGTCTTCTTACTCAAAGATTGCTATCTTGTGAGTTTAATTTAAATTTTATTTACTGTGAAAAATTTTATTTATTGTGAAAAAGTGGTATTAAAAACTTAAAAAGCTGTGTGAACTGCAAAAACCATCGTGGATCGTGGCATAACGTCGATTTTCAATGTTTCATAGGTATTTCATACATGTCAATATATAAAATAAAATTTCAACATACTGTACTTTATTTAAAAAAATTAAAAGAAAATAATAAATTTGAATAAGTAATATTTGGCGACATAATTCCGGAAAAAGCAGATCCGCTCCGAAATTATCAAAAGCTTTAGAGAGCGACCGTTGTAAGAATAGTACCAAATAGTATTTACTACATTGTCCTTATGGGCACTTTCCAATCTAAATTTGTTTCCTTTATCTATGGTCACAATCCCTTACATAAAATCAAACTTCAAAATTAACAATTACTAGATACCTACGCGATCACGTAGTAGATAACTTATCTCAGAGGTAAGACCAAAAACCTTCAAATGTATTTTCCAGACATCTGTAGATGTTACCTATTAGTCCAGGAGGCAGTGATTTTTTTTGTATTTATTTTCTCAGTCGGTGAATATGAAATCAATGAAATATTTTATTCGGAGGGTGATATAAAATTACAATTTGTGAGTCTGGCTAAAATTTTTAGATTTTTAGATGGGTTCACTAGATAAAAAAAAACAAGTCTACTTGTTTTCCTAGTTATAGTACATTCCAAGTGGAGGGAAGTCTGGGTGAAAATTTGGAGATGCAAAAATTTGACAGATTTTTGAAATCCGTAACCCTTGCCATTTTCCCATGCTTAAAATTTAACTTATCATTTGATACTAACATAAACTATAATTAAAAGCAATTCTGGCTGATTTACGACACTCATAATTTCTCACACTCCAATTTCGTGATTTTCAATACAGCAAAATCGAGAAACATTACTCTTTATTTCGAAAATCGTCTAGATCCAAACACATTCATGTGATGAGAAGTTTAGGACAAGTCACCTTGACTAGATTTTTTTAATGCTATTTACTCAAAAACTAAGGTAAATACGAAATAAAGCCAAGAGATTGATAGAGAATTAAATTTGCTACAATAAACACCATATAACTTTCCCGTATCACTGACAGTTACAAAGTTATTAGCGAATGAAGTTTTTTGATGACGGACGGACGAACTGACATTTCGGTAAAACCATGTTTTATTGGATTCCTAGGTCTCAAAACGTTGAGAAAAGTGTTTACAGCCATACTCAAATTCCGCCCTAAATCAATACTACTTTTATCATAAATTATGAAAAGTAAAAACATGTAGAGATGGCAACAATCATCAATATAATTAAACATGCGGAATTTGGCACGTCTGACGAGCGTTGGACGAGCCTGTCAAGACTTTCGGGATGTTCCACATTAGCCAAACTATATTTGCAGCTATAATATGAATTATGATCTGACAAATTTTTTGGACTGCAAAAATAAGGACAACGGTTTCAATAAATTTTACCCAATTTTTCACAGATTAGTTTTTTTTCTTCAGATTTCAACAGATTTCCCCGTAGGCCTAATACTACGGTTTTAATGTGGTGTAAATCTTCATTATTTATTTATTATAAAATTGAATATCGGAAATCACCATCTATTGTGTTTGAATTGACTAATAAATTGTGATTTGAAAAATTCTAGTTATTGGGCTATTAACATAAATGTTTTAATTATATAATTCATTTGAATACATTATTAGATTGTTGGTCTTACCTCAATAAACAACCATCAGCCCAGATAGTAATTAGTAAAACTATCCCTATAAATATAACAGTTTTGTTACTAAAACTAGTAACAACTGTTAGTCGTAGCCATTATGTGATTATCTTTAGAAATAAAAACACTATTAAAACAGAGAAGTAAAAGAGCCAAATCTGTACAATTAAAAATAATTAAAAATTGATTAAAAGTATTATGTATGATCTAAAACATTTTTTTTATGACTATAACATACCTGTGCGGCGGCTGTAGCAATAAAAACAATTACTATATGCACCTTCATAGTGCTTTTTTTAATAATAATTTTAATATTTTTAATTAACTTTAAATCAAGAAGAATTTAAACAGTAAATGCATACAAACACTAAATCACTCATGGATACCCCAACCCTATTTTATAACGAATATCTTCCGGATGTTAAATACTTTTTAATATCACTTATTTTCGGTTAACTATCTATTTATATAATAATTAAAACGAAAATAATTGGTTAAATCCCTGATATAGTTGGTTGAAAATGTGTTTATAATTATAATTTTGGAGCTATTTCGATTACGCATTAATATCAGAACATCATCAGCACTCTAGACGACTGTTTGTTTGCTAAATAGAACAATTTTTTGTACTATTATTGTTAATATTATAGTTGATCACAGCTCGTCAAATGTTCCAGTATTCACGTTTCACCTGCTGCATCTGTTCTTGTTCACATGCCAGCAGTAAGTGCACCAGTCTCGATCCTTTTTTTTTAACAAAATTTGAATGGAGCTTAAAAGGCCAGTTGGTATACGAGTATAACATAAGTGAATATGTATCCTCAGATACGTAGTTTTCCATACTAATGGCCGACAGGCAAGTTTTCAATAAGTTGTGACGATACCATGTTCTTCCTAACTGTATCACGCAGCTTCCAAAGTCTATTATTCTATGAACGTAAGGTGTGTCTCTTCAACGAAAAAAGGAACTGAAAGTGTTGACTTTTATATTTCGCATGTAGAAACATAGTAGGCGCCTGTCAACATATCAAATGTCAAAATTAACTGTCATGTTTAGTTAACTTAACGCTAAAATTTTAGACGACTCCGTTTAAAGCTGTCAGTCGAGAAATGGAATTAAGCCGAAAGATTTATTGTGCAATAATTTTTTACAATGTTCGAAGACAGTTTTGTCTTTTTTGTTTTTTTTTTGTCTTAACAAGAATGCCTTGCCGAGTTGGTTTCTGTTTACGGCAATGAAGCACAACTATTTCTCTTTAGGATTGGAGAATTTAAATGTGGACGGGTTAGTCTTACCGGCGATCCAAGGACAGATCCACCATCAACGGCAAGCACCCAGGAAAACGTCGATGCTCTACTTTACCTGATCATCAATCATATTGTAAGATTGGGGAATGATTGGGCTTTTCAGAGATCTCAATACAAAATATTTTGCATAAAGAATTATCTGTATAAAATTCATTCTTAGTTGGATACCGCGTTTGTTGACTAAAGAACAGAAAGCAATTAGAATCGATTGGTGTCAAAAAACTCTACACCGGTTTAACGCAGGAAATTCAAAAAATATACAGTAGGTATTATCAGTGGTGGTGATTCCTGGATTTACTGTTACGAACCCAAAAATAAACGTCAATCGGCTGTGGTGTTCTCAGGTAAACCAAAACCAACAAGAGGTATCAGTTTTCGAAGCGTTTCCAAAATGATGGTGGCGATATTTGTCTCAAAAGCTGGTCATATAGCAACCATTCCTCTGCAAGATCACAAAACTGTTAACTTGCGATTGGCACATATGTATGTGTTTGCCGGAAGTAACAAGTTGCAAAGCGAATTGTTGAACCATCCTCCATACAGTCCCGACCTAACGACTTTTTTACTTTTCCAAAAATTAAGATGAACTGCGTGATCAAAGGTCGTCCTCAGAAGATGCAGTCAGTGCCTTCAAAAACTCAATTTTGAAGGTACCAAGGCTCGAATTCTGGAACTTCGACATAAAAACGTAACGCTTTCAAAGCAGTAAGCAAAAGTATTCGATTAGCTGAACGCCAAGCAGTCGATTTTGGTATTCTCGTTGCCGTGCGA